TTTTTCAATATTTATTTTTGTCCTTTCTCTCTAATTTTCTGCCACCAATACTCTAACCGTCTCTTACTTATTTCAATCGCGGGTGTGTTCAGCTTTCCATTGTTGTCCCTAAAACCCAAGGCTTCCTGTAGGCTCGTGCCCAAACGTACACCTGGGTGGATATCTCCACATTCAATCAGAACATGCTCCGCCGTTTCCTTATCTTTCCCGCAGCATGTGCATTGTTCTTCTTCTTTACTGAATCTTGCTTTATAACTACGCGTTCTAAGGCAACCCGATCTCGCTTCAAACAGTAAAGCGCTTCCCCTTGAATTATCGTAAAATGCCTCCCTCCTTATTTCATTTTTGCCCTTTCGGTAGTTACTCAAAGCCGGTTTTTTCTCCATAGCTGCCATCCAGTAAATCCTCTCCGCCTCCCTGACTTTTCCCTTAACGCTCTTTGTTGACATATGGCTTACAATACCAGCCGTATATTTACTAGTGAGTCTTCTAGTTCTTTTTCTCCACTGTGTGTCCACGCTCTTCCTATACAAATAACGGAACACCTTCTCTGCCCATCTACTCTCCTTCATATTTCTTAGCCTTTCTTCGAACCTTATTTTGCTCTGCGCTTCCCTCGCCTCAAAACCTGTCAGCGCCATCTATAAGCCAAACAACGAGTGTGAAAACACTCTTATGCGCATGTTTGGCGTCACGTAGCACGTGAACTTATTATGAGCGGGCAGCTGATTAATTGTCCCTCTTATACAACCTAAACGCACCAAGTCTGCCAGTACGAGACCCTCGTTCAATGAAATAAGGGAAAGAAGTGTATACCTAAGGGCTCGTTTTTCCGTGTTTAACACAATATTAATGAGATATAACAGACAGTAATGCCAAGGAATGTACAGGGGAAGTTATTAAAACCAATGGAATGTAAATAAGAAGAAAGAAAAGTGGATGAAAAAATTACCAACTGTGAGCAGGAATCAAACCTACGACCTTCGAATTACGCGTTCGATGCTCTAACCACTGAGCTATCACAGCGGCCCTCCCTCCATCCACTTTTTTGGGTTTATCTGTGAATTTAGAAGTAGGAGCGACAGTCAGCGCCATCTATAAGCCAAACAACGAGTGTGAAAACACTCTTATGCGCATGTTTGGCGTCACGTAGCACGTGAACTTATTATGAGCGGGCAGCTGATTAATTGTCCCTCTTATACAACCTAAACACACCAAGTCTGCCAGTACGAGACCCTCGTTCAATGAAATAAGGGAAAGAAGTGTATACCTAAGGGCTCGTTTTTCCGTGTTTAACACAATATTAATGAGATATAACAGACAGTAATGCCAAGGAATGTACAGGGGAAGTTATTAAAACCAATGGAATGTAAATAAGAAGAAAGAAAAGTGGATGAAAAAATTATCAACTGAGTAGGAATCGAACCTACGACCTTCGAATTACGCGTTCGATGCTCTAACCACTGAGCTATCACAGCGGCCCTCCCTCCATCCACTTTTTTGGGTTTATCTGTGAATTTAGAAGTAGGAGCGACAGTCAGCGCCATCTATAAGCCAAACAACGAGTGTGAAAACACTCTTATGCGCATGTTTGGCGTCACGTAGCACGTGAACTTATTATGAGCGGGCAGCTGATTAATTGTCCCTCTTATACAACCTAAACACACCAAGTCTGCCAGTACGAGACCCTCGTTCAATGAAATAAGGGAAAGAAGTGTATACCTAAGGGCTCGTTTTTTCCGTGTTTAACACAATATTAATGAGATATAACAGACAGTAATGCCAAGGAATGTACAGGGGAAGTTATTAAAACCAATGGAATGTAAATAAGAAGAAAGAAAAGTGGATGAAAAAATTACCAACTGTGAGCAGGAATCGAACCTACGACCTTCGAATTACGCGTTCGATGCTCTAACCACTGAGCTATCACAGCGGCCCTCCCTCCATCCACTTTTTTGGGTTTATCTGTGAATTTAGAAGTAGGAGCGACAGTCAGCGCCATCTATAAGCCAAACAACGAGTGTGAAAACACTCTTATGCGCATGTTTGGCGTCACGTAGCACGTGAACTTATTATGAGCGGGCAGCTGATTAATTGTCCCTCTTATACAACCTAAACACACCAGGTCTGCCAGTACGAGACCCTCGTTCAATGAAATAAGGGAAAGAAGTGTATACCTAAGGGCTCGTTTTTCCGTGTTTAACACAATATTAATGAGATATAACAGACAGTAATGCCAAGGAATGTACAGGGGAAGTTATTAAAACCAATGGAATGTAAATAAGAAGAAAGAAAAGTGGATGAAAAAATTACCAACTGTGAGCAGGAATCGAACCTACGACCTTCGAATTACGCGTTCGATGCTCTAACCACTGAGCTATCACAGCGGCCCTCCCTCCATCCACTTTTTTGGGTTTATCTGTGAATTTAGAAGTAGGAGCGACAGTCAGCGCCATCTATAAGCCAAACAACGAGTGTGAAAACACTCTTATGCGCATGTTTGGCGTCACGTAGCACGTGAACTTATTATGAGCGGGCAGCTGATTAATTGTCCCTCTTATACAACCTAAACACACCAAGTCTGCCAGTACGAGACCCTCGTTCAATGAAATAAGGGAAAGAAGTGTATACCTAAGGGCTCGTTTTTCCGTGTTTAACACAATATTAATGAGATATAACAGACAGTAATGCCAAGGAATGTACAGGGGAAGTTATCAAAAACCAATGGAATGTAAATAAGAAGAAAGAAAAGTGGATATATATATATATATATATATATATATAATATATATATATATATATATATACACACACAATTCAACGTTCTGTCTTCCTGGGCGGAGGTGGAGTGAACGCTTTCAGCGTACTGTGTTATGCCTTACTCCACACACCCAGTCACACATTCTTTCTTTGTGATGAACGGCAACCTGATCCGGCTCGTATAGCTTCTATTTGCTCTTCACGCAGCATCGGACACGAAGTAAGTCGAGCTCAGCGGAAGAGGCCGGCAAGTACATTCCTAAGCGACAACAAATACTGAGACCATAAACTATACGCTCCTCGCCGGTCACATATCATCACAGTCGAACACCTACGCTACCTTGCACTACTTTTGTTTACTCAGGCGAAAGTTCTGGATGCATCATCGATGGCGAGAGTTCACTGTCGGGTGCGTCAGCGCGAATGATGCAAACAATTATACTACGATGACGTCACCGCATCATGCTATGACGTCACAGATCATGGAAATTTTGGTACGATTGTGACGCCAGAATGTTGGATCAAATGATGACGTTATGGCGGGACATCGTCGCGTGGTCGAAGCTGCGCGTATCCCAGAGGCCGTGTTAAAGGCAGGTCAGGACTAGAAATGTTTTCGGTGGAGGCGGGGAAGGATCATTTCTTCGACCAAGACGAAAAAGAATAAGAAAGTTTTCGAGCTGTCTTAGGTGACCGCAGAATTGATAATTACGTTTTTTCTTCATTTTTTGCATTCCTCTGTGAACGACATGTTGAGTAATTCATTTTACGTTGAAACATATCGGTTATTTTACGAAAGTAAAGGATAACTTTAACATTTTTGAAATAGAGTTGGTCACGTCTTGTCAGATGTGCACACTCCACATGGGCGGTACTATCCGTCATTCACGCGTCATTTTCGTCGTTGTTTTGTTGCACGTATTTCCCATCAGTGTATATTGAATGGAACATTGAATGTAGTTTCTAAAAGATAATCTCTAAGGGACAAAATCTATACTGCGTAAGGCAATAAAGGCATGGCGCGAAAACCACGAGTAGCGTTTCTAAGAAAACACGATGGCTACGAGACAACGAGGTCTGCTCACCAGAGGGATGGTGATGTGCAATCACAGTGGTCTTGGAAAGAACCAGCCTGGTGACGAACATGGCATGAGCTCAGACATCGTACTTGGGCGCCTTCGCGACCACGACAGCGTCGGCGTTCATTAGCATGAGCATTTGTTATTACCCGGGAGAACTGTCTCAAAATGTTAGTCCTGAACGGAAACTGCACTTTCCAGATTACATACTTGCTTGCAATTCAAAGCGAGCAAATAATGACGTTCATTAGAAAATTAACGAGTTTAAGCATCAAAACTAAACGTGCTGATGTAACAACACACCACTATAGCGGCTAAATAATCGGAAAGCGAGGCATTCCTGGTTTGCATTTGCCGTGGCTTGGGCACTGGCTAATGGTAATTACATTGTTTTTAAATATTGGTTGTCGGATCGCGATGTGTATATTCTACTTTCTTGTGCTCGCGACAATGAATAATTCAAGACCAATTATTCTAGTTATCATCAACAGCAGTTCGACGTGTTAAGCGTGTTCCCTTTCATTCACTGTGTTGCCTGCGTTAGCGCCCCATTTCAATCAATGCATACACGAGGGGTCTAGTAAGTCCTCGAAAAACACCGGCAGTGCACTTTTGCATGCATCCATCTCATAAGATTCTGATCGTTTCTTGGATTCCGGAAAGTGCTACAGTTCGTTTTGCACGCACTTTCTATTGAAATCAGCTTGAATCGATTCCACTGATTTGCAGCTCAAATGATCATTCTCCCATTTCTCATATTTTACATGTTTCTCTGACTACTGCAATGTTAATCCTGCAAAAGTACAGAGTTGTACAGTACACATATTACTTAATTAATTACATAACTTGTTTAGTTAAATATTGCTTCGTGCTTAATTACATCAGATAAATTTCATTAGCAGAGCAAGATGACTTCTTGTTAAGAGCTCCGATTTTATCACCAGAAGTTATCTTTACAGACAGAAGGGAGGGAAAAAATAGGACTAACCACACTTTTTAGTGTGAGACGTTAATTAGGATGTTGTGACTCATTAAGTTGCAAAGACATGGTATTATGTGCAGCAGGTATGCTCTGCTGTCGCAAATCAAGAGACTACATTGATGAAGCAAAATGTTTATGTATATTAAACCATCCACTTACACTTGAATGTTATTTCCCAGCTGCAGACATCTGTACATCCGTGGGAGACTTTTGCGGCACCTCCGAATGCGTGCCTGATGTAAACGCCTCGTCTTTTACGTGCAAGTGTGACACTGAACAGCAATACTTCAATGCCACTGCACGTCGGTGCTATCGTAAGTACGAATTTGTTAATTTTACTTCAAGCGTCGTTTTATTTCTGTTTCAAATGTTTGCACGCGTGCTTTGTTGATGGTCATACAGACACCGAAAATAGTCAGCGTATTTTCATTGTCTTCCTAATAATTACAATGATACTAATAAAAAATTGAACGTATCGGTTTAACGCAGTATATTGCGTAGAAGTGACCACTCAAAAAAACATTTTTTTTTACTTTTGAAGTGTGGCACGAACTATTCAAGAGAGGAATAAGATGAGTAGGAGTGTCTCCGGAGTTCGCACAAAGTGTTTCTTTTTTTCATAAGTACGAGATGTGGCTCTTTGTTGAACAACGATAGTTGTTTTAAAGTTTTAATTAACCATAAGCTGAGTGATAAACGCCTGCTTCTTCAGACGTTTACTTCAATGTTTATAAGTGCCATTTAGTACAAACGACGTTGCTTTCTTTTTGTTACTTCTTTAACGCTTACAATAAACATCAGCAGGGTGAAGTATAATAATGAATGAATTAGTGAAATAATGAATTGGCGTTCATTATTTTTATAGCCGGTTGGTTTCTATTACCAAGCTGTATGATTGCCAGAGAGTTAATTGAACAAAGTCGGCCATGATTTATCATGATAGCAACATAATCCACACAATCGATTTGGGGCCTTTCCGACAGTGTTTAGAACATAGAATGCTCCCGTGAAAAGCGCGTAATGCGTTGGGCCACGAAGGTGAAGAAACTTACTCAATGGCTCCTAGCATATTCAGAAACACTATGCACTCAGTGTATACAGTGCACTGCATGTGCACTCTGAAACGGACATTGGGAAAGTGAACACTAAATCACATGGACGAGCATTAAAAAAAAAAAGACAGGCGCGATATGCTATATATCGTCATTTCAGTGGCTCGTATTGCCCTATAGCTTTTGTATACAAGCACTTTGTACAAGCATGAGGACGCGGATTCGATCCTCTGCCACTTCAGCTGTATATCAATTATGATGAATAGAACGTGCGTCTTATCCGTACTGCGACTTTAGTACGCACAACTGGAATCCCGGCTGCGGTGGCTGCATTTTCGATGGAGTCGAAAATGCTGTAGGCCCATGTGTTCAGATTTGGGTGCACGTTAAAGAACACCAGGTGGTCTAAATTTCCGAAGCCCGTCCACTGCGGTGTCTCTCATAATTATATGGTGGTTTTGGGACGTTAAATCTCACAAATCAATCAATCAAGTACGCACAACTGCCTGAAATTTCATATTTCTTCTCTTTTATGCGCTGCGTAGATAAAGTGATGTTCGTGCTACAAACCAGCACCCGCCGTGATACTTTTCGACTTGGGCAGTAGTCTGCTACTTATGGCGCACAGGCGACCATCATAAACATAATGACCAATTTCGAATGATTCGCTGGCAAGAAAAAGCGTGCAAGGGCGCTTTCAAAAGGTTTAATTTGTGGGGTAATTAGACGCAGTTGAGCTGTATTGTCCTGTTCTCGATCTGTTAATTTTTGTGAACTTCCGGGCAGGCCTATATTGGTTTTTTCACCTCAACTTAAAAAAAACGAAGGCTTTTGCATCGAGGCTTTTTATTATACTTCTTTCTCTGCACATACAGATTTATACTCTTGCTTGCACAACCAATGTCGTCACTTGCCCTGCGTGGATGGGGACGGATACCATGAAGCTAACTGCACATTTGAAAGCGACGCAGACCCTCAAGGTAGGTGCTCATGATTCTGCCAACTTATACGTGTACTGAAGCTTGAACTACACGCTTGCAAATTCCTTGTTGTATAGCACGCTGCTGCTGCACTGTAAAACGGAATCCGATGTTGAGGCATGACCCCCGGATGCACTCCTAAAATGCTGCGCTTTCAGAATCTTTATTCTTCATTTTTAGGCTCACGCTTATAGCCCAAGGTATACAGGCCACTTCATCCTGCACTGTGTCTTATTTATACTTCAGGACGAAGGCCCCTTCAATGATCTCCGACCCACCCTGACCTGCGCGAGCCGATTCTATTTTATGCTTTTAAATTTCTTAATTCTATTAGTCCTCCTAATTCTTTGCTGACTTAGGACGCGTTTCCCATCTATTGCTATTTATTCCGACGTTATAACTGCTCACTTCTTATCTGCCCTTTTCCCGACGTGATCTGCAAGTCCATTTTTTCCTTAAGACCTGCTGGAATATCCGCCCCCTCATCACCCTCCCATGCGCAGGGTAGCAAACCGGCTGCCTATAGGCTGGCTAGCCTCCCTGTTCTTTTCCTCATATTTTCCTTGCTTCCTCCGCTCCCCGCTGTTTGGCTTCTGCTGTCATCATGTCTCATAGAGCTATGCCTATTATTTTTTGGTAGATCTGAGAGTATTCTATGAGTAATACAATAAGTGGATTAGGCTTTGAGGAAGATGGCGGAAATCATTCAGCCATCTATACATAGCTGCAATGCCAAGCGCATCTATTCTTTGAACTCATTACAGTATAAATAAATTGTCATAGATGGTATAGACAAGGAGAGACAACTACGTCAGGCTTATCTGTGCAAATGGTTTGCCAACATGGCCAAATATTATATACAAGCGGAATAAAAAGTTCCCAGGCCACGCTCCCATAGAAATACAAAAGATAGTGGCTTGAAAACTTTTGATTCCCCCTTCGTAATTATAAGCGCAGCTTAATATAATTGAATACAGATATTCTGTCAGAAAACGGAAAGCTTCATAGTTAAGTAGCTTAGGAGAAAATTTTGTGGGTAAGTTGTGTATATATGTTTATAATTCACTTTAAGGCGCGATAAAAACGCAAACACATGCCCCGTGTCCTGTGACTCTTATCTTGTGTTTGCGTTGTTGTTTCTTCGCGCATTATTATCAGTGATATAGTTACTTGACCTGGTACTTATTAGCCCATCAGCAAAACTGTGCATAAATCGAAGCGTGCGCGTGTGCCTTTAAAATCCCGTTGTGACCAGAGGGATGTCACGCTTTTTGCCTTCGTCAAAGCAACTGCCAACACTAAGGCAGCACTCTAGATCACATGAATTCGTTTGTCTTGCAGCGATTCGAAAGCGCATTTGCGTTGATAGCGGGGGACGAGTGAAAGAAAGTCATGGTGAAGCCGGGTTGGAATGCGTGTGTCCTCGACGATCTCAACTCATTGATGGATTATCTTGTCTTCGTAAGTATTCTCGTCAAAATTCTCCTCACGAGCGAACATTCGTTTTTACCAAGCTCTAAAATCGAGATAGAAGCATTGCTACAAATAACATAAATTTTAATTAAAACTTCAAGTAAATTTTTGTTAACAAAAAGAAGTGGGGGTGAGGATGAGACATTTAATGCCTCCAAGAAAATAAAAACTATTTACTGTGTGTTTTCGGACTAGCTTTTTTTTAATGACGACGGATGAAAACATTTTTATACCATCAGCCATCCCCCACGAAAAAAAGAACCTAGTTTGTTTCGAAACAACAGGAAAATGAAGTCAATTCTTGGTTGGACGCATTCACATTAGCCAAGCCTGACAGGCAATTCTGTCTGTGCATTTCTAGCTTCAAATGTTAATAGAGAACTCAAAGGAAATTCACTGACATGAAATTATCGAGAAGTACATCTATTTCGAGCATTAAAGCCGTAAAGTTGTTTGGTAACTATTTTTTTATTCGTGCTTTGCGACCCATAGAAAAAAAAAATACTATATCATGTTGTTTAAATTTTTCACAACTGCATTTCAGCTGACAAAAACTGCACCCCGGAGGAAATCAGTAACTGCACGAAAAGAGGCCGCCAGTGCGTTCTTCTGGGAGCGGAAGCGCAGTGCAAATGCCCGGGCAACTCAGTCGAACTTGCAGACAAGTGCTCCGGTACGTCTAAATACGTTCACGCCGCTGTTGGCGCTTTTTTTTTTTTGTTTGCTGGTATTGACATATAATATCAGCGGTCATTTTACGCAGAGGAGCACTAACGCAAACATTCTGCACTTTTGATTTTTTTTTTGCAATAGGTAGGTTATGACTCGCTTATAACGGCTGGAAACTGTGTTTGCGCGAGTGCGCGACGGTTATTTATCTGGAGACGTTTTTAGAGTGTCAAGTCTGTTTCAAAGGTTGTGAGACAGCCCCGCCGCGGTGGTCTAGTGGCTAAGGTACTCGGCTGCTGACCCGCAGGTCGCGGTATCAAATACCGGCTGTGGCGGCTGCATTTCCGATGGAGGCGGAAATGTTGTAGGCCCGTGTGCTCAGATTTGGGTGCACGTTAAGGAACCGCATGTGGTCGAAATTTCCGGAGCCCTCCACTACGGCGTCTTTCATAATTATATGGTGGTTTTGGGATGTCAAACCCCATAAATCAATCGAATCAAAAGTTGTGAGACAGTTAAGCTTCGCTTTTAAGAGTTCAACACGATAGCGACCTGCTGTTCCTAGTGCGCACTTCAAACACATATAGTGCATGAGACCTTTTCGAACTTGCCATGTACTCACTACATGGCCTTAAGTGAATAGACACAGTAACGTGTGTGCCTTTTTTTAATGGACAACTGGCTATAAACGATGAAGTCATAATAGTAATCACACGTTCTGACGACCGATGACAATGTACGCTTAAACGACGTACTATTACGGCAGTATTTCATGCTGTATTGGGAAGCGTGTATACAGGACGTGCGTGTAAAGCATGCAAGTGCCTTCGCCGCATTTCCAAGCAGAGGAAGTTATTTTCACTCAATTCAGAAGCAGGCGTTTTGCTGCGTGGTAGATTACCCGCTTCCAACGTGAACTACCCGGGTGCGATCCCCACTCGGGCACAAGTTTTCTTATTATCTATTTTATTTGCATCTTTCTCGATTTTTCGGTCACGCACAAGATGACGATCATTCGCTCAGAACTAACGAAGCTGAACGCCGACACCGCAATTTCTGCAAAACGAGCTTTTTAACGCTATCGTGTTAAAAAATCCCGATCTAGGCAGGAACATGCCGCGTATGCAGGCACAAAGGAGGAAATCGTAGGTAGTCGAAGCTCAAGGCGCGTGCCAGCAGCCAGCCAACAAAAGCTCGTGATGTATAGTTTGTTTAAATTTCATTTTAGTTTTATTTCCCGCCGCCCGGTTCCTGTCCCATCCCCCTCTGCGGGTGAGCGCCATTCATGTGAGGTCATTAGCATTGCCCCTGCGTTGATGTCGGCGTCGTGAAGAGCTCCGCATCTCGCTCAATCATGCGGCCTGCGCTTTAAAACTGATTTTGATTATGTTTTAACCTATTATAATTCTTGATATCTTGTACATGTGTGTGTCTCAACATAAATGTATCTCGCTCATTATCTCAACAACAAAATTTTGTGTCAGTGTTCCTTTAAACTGTATTATTTCTGTAAGAAGGTCTGAGTTTTTTTAAACGAGGACATCAGCTTGTTACCTTGTACTTTCTTCTGGCTCTTATGCTTGTTAACTGACTTATGGGACTGTTCAACTCGACAACATTAAATAGGACAGTAGTTGGTGTTACCACCTCACTTTCGCGCAAAACGTACCTCTATTCTACGCACCGTTAAGCATTATGCCACAGCACAGTTATGATCACCATAAATCCTTCAGTTTAGCGTTAGAGGCAGAAATTTTCCACGCAGCGGTTATTTAAGGTCTCTCTTGGGATCAGCATGCAGCGTTTGCATCTCGGAAGTGCTCATAAATAAAATCTCCAGAGAAAACTCCAGATTAGGTGCATTAAACGTTTATGGTCTGGCCGAAATTTCCTCGCGCTGTGTCCCATGCTGTACAACCGACTGAATTTTATAAAGCAGAGTAATACCCAGCCGGGCTCAGTCATAGACAACCGGGAAGCTGTAACGAATTTTTCAATAAACATTTGGGTTTACGAACATTCAGGTTGCATGAGTTCTTCATTGCATGAAAATTCATATCGTGTTGCTCTCAGTATCTTTATCCTTCTGTTGTCAAATTTGTTATTTGATAACATCACCACCAGAAAGTAATACTGCTTGGGAAAATAGGGTGTCTAGCGCCAGACATTACTCTAACCATCGTTTATTATATTTTTAAAATAAAAAGGCGGCTTGCAATCATTTCAATTAGTAAAATTAGCAGATGTACTCTGCAAGCCTGAAACTTTTCTCAGAATTGTAACGCATTGTAGAATCTTCGCAGGGAAAGTTTAGAAAATTGTTTATAGCAAATAGACAAGTCGAAAGCTGATGCCCATATTTTTTCGAGTGCGGCGATCCTTGAAGTCGAGGAGCGGGCCAACGTATATTGCAGCCACGTCTACAGTAGAAGAAAAGTCGACACCTTGACGGGGAAAAACTTGCTATGCGGTGAAGTAACACCTATTTGGCGATGCCTTGTGAGGAGGTCATTCAGTTCAGAAACACGCCATTACTTTTTGCCGACGGCTGATATAGCTAGATTTTTGGGGGAAATAACTTATGTCTCTAAACCGATTGTGTGCCATTTCAGGTGAATGTACCTTCGAAAAACAGACTGAATGCCGCTCTCCACTCAGCTCGTGCATTGTGTTGGCTGGCACGGAAACGTGTCGCTGTCATCCTCCTCTTGAGTGGGATTTTATTTCCAAGCACTGCGTACCAGGTAGGTGCAACTTGGTATTGTGAATTGTGCGAGGATACGTGCGGTGCAAAAACCTTTTTTGAATACTTCCATGGGGAATAACAATAATTGTTAGAGTTTAACGCCTGAAAATCACAATATAATTATTAGGAGCCCCTCTTCCACCGCCTAGAATTCTTTATTATGCACCTAAATTTAAATACATGGTCCTCAAGCACTTTCCGCTCTTTTGAAAATACGGTCGCCGCAGCCGTTATTACGATCACGCCAACTACGGTTCAGCAGTATATCACTATAGCCACCAAACTATCATGGCGGGACCATGGTGAAGTGGGAAAAAAAGGAACTTGGCTCATTCCCCTAATCGGTATAACACGAAAATGAAACATGTCTTCACAGAGGTCATAATCATCATCATCATCATCATCATCATCATCACCATCATCATGACCTCTGATGACCTCTGATGATGATCCCCCTAATCGGTATAACACGAAAATGAAACATGTCTTCACAGAGGTAGCGGAGCGTTTATTTTGCATTGTTTTAGCAACAGCAACAAATTGTCAAGTCACGTAACCAATAGCAAGCAGCTCAAAACTTGCATTGCACACTTGAAATAGAAAGCACACGCGAAATAAGCGTACGCAAGACGAGCGCGGACTAATGACTGTCAAAGATCAACACCTAAAGCGCGCTGTTCAAAGGGAGAAAAAACGCACGAAACGAGCGCACAATTTCACGCAGGACAAGTGCTAACGATTGCCACAACTTTTACTTCATCGTGTGTCAGCAGCGCGCTTCCTTCGTAAAGGTAGTGACGGCTGCATGCAAAGTGACTTTCGTCCTCTCCCGAATTACAAGTCCTATAAGCGCGGGCTCAGGAGAGGCCATGCTCCGTGGAGGCGATGACCTTCTATAGAGCGCGCTGAACAACTTTACTCAACGCGAGCCTGTCGCGCCACGTCGCTACTGGTGATGAAAACGCGCTAAAGTTTCAAAGCTCTGACGACCGCCAAACGGTATATGGCGCATATAAATGGCTTGCCGTTAGAATCTTCGACAGCGTACTCTCCGTGGCATAGTGCGTAGCGCCGTGCGCTGCGGATGGAGAGGTTGCCGGTTTGACGCCGCGCGACAGAATCTTTCCTTTTTTTTCCTTGCAATTTGTGAGTATATATTTTACAGCGTCATATCCGTGACGAAAATACGTCAGCGGAGGCGTGGTGGACCCCGGCATAAAACATTTCCGTGTTAAAAAAACTTGGACTATCTCCCGCTAAAGGGAACCATGGGTAGATGCGATGCAGCGGGCGCTAACGCTTACACTGGCGGTGACGTTGACGCTGGCGCTCATCAAGCGAAAGCCAAGTAAAGACGCCCTTGACTGAATTCCGAGCACACGATCCAATGCCTATACATATGGCAAAGACTGCTGCGCCGCGCGGCGCACGAGCCATTCCCACACAGAAACGGCTGCTGCGCCGCACGGAAGTGACGTGTGCATTTTCCGGTTAGGCGCTTTGTTTGAATAGTCGGGAGTGTCTAGCGGTACGTCTAGACATAACGATAAAAGCCGTTAAAATTACGTCTATACAAAAAAGTGAACAAAAATGTTATTTAGGTTTAGCGTGACAACAATACAAAACCGGCTTGTTTGTCATCTCAAGCCGATCGGCAGCTGTGGCGTAGTTGGTTAAAGCAACACTTGAATTGGTGAGGTCGGTGGTTCAAGTCCATTGCAGTTATCGATACTTTTTCTTTTTTTTTCACGCATGTATTGTTTTAACATTTGCGCCTCCTCATTAGCCCGACTTGCTGCTGGTGGTGGTGGTCCTGTCCACAAGCCCTTTAATATTGGATCATCGATGACTTTTGCAGGATTGACTATATTTATTATAATAAAGTGTTTTGCGAATTAGTGCTCTTAATGGGCGAGATGCAAAAAACACAAAAAAAATCGAATGCAGCTGGCTGCATTGGTTTCTTGGGCACAGGAATGGGGATTTCCATGGTTTATCAAAGTTTTGATGACAGATAGGTGCACTGCAACGTAGTCTCGGGCAACTTTTTTTATGTCGCTCAGTGTACCATCACCTAACGAGGTAACCGGCAGGCCGCTTTCTTTAAAAATACTGACGTGTCACCGCAATGTTCTAGGCGATCAGCACTTGATAAACAATGCCCAAGGGCAAGTACCGACGGCGTTAGCCCATCTAACTACAAAACAGCTTGTCTGCCTTGCTCAATAACACGCGCGGCCTGTGACAGTACGGGAGCATTCACGTAGCAACGGAGGAGAACGGCCGTACGTGTTCGCACTTGACAAAACAGACAGCAATGCAGTAGCTCTGGCCTTCGGAGATCACAGGCTTCGTAAGAACATTACAATAAAGTTGTTTCCATTCATCGTATGAACACTTCGCCGATGCACTGGGGTTTCATGCATGTGCGTCCGGTCAGTCACACGTGAACCCTGCGAAAGCATTTATTTCATCGTCGACCTTGTCCTTCGTGACAAGAAAAACTCGGCAGCAAGAACACTTTCTCCTTTGACAACACCACGCTTGGCATTGCAATCTAGAAAATGCAGTACGTCTAACGACTGTAATCCGCACATCATACTGAGAAACTTTATGGCGCACACACTCAGACGAAGCTGCGGCGCGGTGGATGGCCCCGCTAGCTCCAACCACCAGGTTCAGCTAAGCATCCAGCAATCACATGAAGCAGCGACGACACTCCAGTCCTCCTTGGGAGTGGCCTAGGCCATGGCCACGATTTCATCGGAGTTTTCACCATCAACACATGGCAGGCGGCTACCATCTCGCTGTGTTTACCTTTCGCAGCCGCAGCGCCCATGGCGCCCCCTGTATTCAAAATACTTGTAATATGTATTTAAATAACAAACCTAAACTAATTGACTCGCTAAACACATGTTTAGTAAAAATTTTGTAGGTTTAACGCGTTACACACGAATAATTTACACGTTTAACTAGCTTTAGGTAATAATTTTTTAAGTGACGTCACTTCTGTGCGGCGCAGGAGCCATTCCTGTGTGGGGATGGCTGCTGCGTTGCGCGGCGCACGAGACGCTGCCTATACATATACGGGGTGGCCAGTGAATGGTTGTGCAGTGCGAGCAGTGGGGTTTTTCACCAGCAGACGCTGCCAGAGTCGGCCTTGCGAGGTGAGAGAAGGGGAGTGGAGCGACAGTTTTGCGGGTGTTTTCCTGGGCCGGCACGAGACGCGAGCATGCGCAGTGGGCATGTACGTAAATACAGTTTTACAGAGGATAGTCAAAGAGCTGCTTCTTGCTCTGCATCTAAAAACGTCGTTTTGCTAGGCAGAAAGTGTATTACTACCGCAGACACATCATCAGGCGCTCTATTCTACCCTACCTCGGATCACAGCGTAGCTCTAGAAGTGGCACCATTTAACCGACAGTACATCAGGCATTTTAGTTAAATATTGATAAAGTGGGAGTTTAACCTGTGCCCCGGTGGCATGGGCAATGATAACAGCAGGTCTTTACTAAATTACTCTGAATGTAGTTTAATGTAATTGTTTATCACGTGTTGGGCTACAGTGTCAATATTTTGCATAATAGCCTTGAACGGGGAGGGGATTGCGATCTTGCTGCTAGTTCAATATCACCAATGACTGGCTTTTTTATGTGTGTGGTTTTACTACCGCGGCTACTATACGAAATCGGAAACTATACGAAAACCCCTAAAACTATCTAGTGATATTATTTCTAATGAGATACATACACCATGCCATCTACTAAGCAATTTACAAACTAGAGTGGCTACATACTACTACTACTACTACTACTACTACTACTACTACTACTACTACTACCACTACCACTACCACTACTAACACTACTAACACTACTACCACTACCACTACCACTATTACTACTACTACTACTACTACTACTACTACTACTACTACTACTACTACTACTACTACTACTACTACTACTACTACTACTACTACGAGATGGCGAGATCAGAAAAAAAATGTGCGTTAGGCAACCTTCCATACCGCTTTCTCAAAAAAAGTTACAATAGGTTGCCTTGTCATGGTAACTTAGCTTGTTATGTCGTGACAGGACCGCGTACACGTGCTCGGTTCAACGGTATGACCCAATGAATATTCTTTTGTTGTTGTTTTTTATATTGTTACCTCTCACTCGATATGTATATTTTAATGGTTCGTGCAAAAATAAGATATCAGTTTTATGTTGCGCAGCGTCCTCGTTGGTCTTCTTCTACGTGCTTGTCCGTCGTGCGTCTGCTTCTAAAATAGTTTAGTTTTGTCGCCTTGAAGAGAATTCCGAAACTAAGGCGCTTTTTTTTTTCAGCGAATGAATACGAATATACCGTTACGTTTAAAGTGCACCCGGAAGCATCAGAGCAAGAGGGAACATTGGCTCATTGCAACGACACAGCCTGGTTGGCCAATGTTCATGAAGCTGTAAGTGCTGCCTTTTAACTAAAAAACATCGGCTTCATTCAAGAATCTGCTGCGGCCGACAGCTAATTTTAAATGTTGACGTGGAAAATATCCGGTTCCCTCAAGAGTGTTTGGACAGACTGAGTACTTGTATCTAATAATATCCATGTTCATCCGAAAAAATGCCCCTCAAAAATTCAGCTGTTGGTATTTTCACTAACTACATTAGGTTACAACTTTTTCGAACACTCAATACGATGCAGTGATAGCTAGGCGTGGGGACCGTGTGATTTCTATGTTTACGGTCAGCCAAGTATTAACTAAAAAAATAAAAAATATATAATAAATTAGTCCATAATTCGTAAAGCAGCACGTGCGCTACATTGCTTCGATGATACGACGAACATGATAAAAACAAAAGTGACTTGCAAATTAAGAAAGTAACACGAATGTAAATATGGCAGATTTTCCTTTAGGAAGTTTCTTCGGGGAGTTCATTACAATTTAGGAGCATTGTAAATAACGCCTCAGGTTTGTTGCAAGTCCGGCGTAACTACACTATGTATGCTTTTCCTTTTTTTTTTTCTTTTTCAGATGAAGAACTTATACGGGAAATCGCTCACGAAGAGTGCTGTGCATGAATGTGGGTAAGATGAAAAAAAAAGTGCGTGGTCCAGTTTTGCCAGTGTCTACCCAGACAAAAGCTTCGTGTATCATGTTTGTTATTTTTCATCTTAGTATTATGCTTTGAGAAAATGTGAATGGCTCTACCTTTCGAGGTCGACGAAGATCCCTGAAAAATGTTCTTGCACGCCCTCTTTTTTTCCCCCTTCTACATAGCGAGATAGTGACTGGGAAGCTGACGTTTTCGGAGGAGCCTAATCAGTACGTGCTTCAAAGGATTCACCTTTGCGACATAAGGGCAGGAAGCGCGGGGTGTTTGTTTCCTCCTCTCTTACGCGTCGTCAGAGAAAGTGTTTCAGGTAAGGCATAACACTTCACACTCTTGAATATCCCAATTTTCTTTTTTACGCTTCCTGGTCAATGCGCGTAGTGCACTTTTTGTGTTTTGCATTAGACTAGCACTGCCGGTTTTATTGTATATTCACGTAGCTATTTGTAACGAGAATTACAGCTGCAGCTTTGCGAATCGTGGGCTGTGTTACTGATTTCGCGCGCTTGTGTGTCGTGACAATCTGTAAGCTTACTGCATTATTGCTTCCCTGTGTACCGCGGACCGTGTTACTACTGGTCGCGTGTAAACTTTGTGCTCAAACTCTGCACTGTACCACTCCTGCCTTGGCTGCCAAAGGGTGGATGGCAGTATTGAATCAATAAAAAATTATGAAATAAAAACTCACCATGACAAATTAAATGAAGTGCATAGAAAATGACGTTATACAGTTTCAAGTGGGTAATGGCTTAGAGCAAAATAGGCACTTTCACTTTAAATAATTAGGGTGGGTGGCTCCCCTCTATCGACCTTCTCACTCTACAGTGACCTTTTCTTTACAGCGACAGCTCTAATGAGGTCACAATACCTAGCGGAGGCGGCGTATTTGTCCGCCGCCGCCGCCGCTGTCCGTAACCGCTATCGCGCACGATTGGAAAAAAAAATGTCCGAGGCAAAGTCGGATTCGAACCCACGCATCTGCGTCAAGCATTCTACCACAGATTCAAAACGGTGCCGCAATGTCCCTCTCAAAAAGACGTTGCACAGGCGTCATGTCGCGCAAGAAATAAAGTTAACAGACGTAATATAGCCTGGCAGAATATTAAAATAACAACCAGGTCTGACACTATGCGAATCCTATGTCGAGTTGGTGAGTTAAGCCTTCTCGCTCATTTTAAAGGACTTGATGATGATGATGATTCCACAGCCGTGGCTCGTACCCACTCAGGGGGATCGGCCAAGAATCGATGACTTAATTCAGTAAGATTTTTTTTTTCAATATCGAAACCACTCACCAGAAAAAAAGAAAGAAAAAAGAAAAGACACCCTAGGCAGAATGAAAGGAGTGCAATAGTTGTTTGTCACTCGTTCAGATAAGACAATTATTCATTACATTGAATAGGAATCAGCATGGTTAAACAATGCTCTTGTGTATGTTGGAATTTTTTTGCACAAATAATGATCACGCAATTAAAAGGACTTGGTCATATTTCTTCATCTTCATCAGCCACAACATTGATGAAGTGTAAATAATGCCTCATAGATTTATAGCGGGTACATCGCTTCTCAACAGAGTGATGAATAATTTCACCCTGAATACTTCCAAGTTTTGCGAACTCATGCTGATTCGTGCCGTGTTATGTACATTACAACTATGCTTGCAGAAGTCACCCACAAAAGAACGTACATTTGACCCACGTTGCTCTTCCAGCTTTCTTTGTGATACGCGTACCGCGCAGGCCTGGCATTTTTCTCTGTTCATCAAATGGAACGCGAAAATTTGCACACGTGCTATATATGCTTCCAATCCGCAGGTCCAGATCCTATTGACGTATGCACCGAGTACTTTCGAGGCGTCCACAAAGAAACAAACGATTCCTATCATTGCACTGCTGAAGGAAATGGGCGCTATACTCTTCGCTGCACTGGCGGCCTTGTCACCGACAATATTGTACGGGGTGGTCTGCTAGTTCAGCACTGCCAAGGCGAGCACTTCCATCCCTAATTATTTCACCCTTTGAAACTGTTCGTAAACCATGGGCTACGCAACTTGGTTTTACTAGTTACGTCAACAGCCCGCTTAAGAAAAGCAAAACATTGAGGTCTGGATGAAACTAATCCTCCTACGTAATAAATGTTTCTTCATTTAACTTGATTTTGTAGTGTACTGTGTCATCTCGTCACCTTGCCGAAAGCACTACCATGTTCGACAAGTCTTTAGACCTCCCGATTTCTGTGAGTAACGTACGGAGAATAGGTTTTTTTTTTTCGCTCGTGCAACATAGCTCAACGAAAAACAAATTGGCGCAAAATTTTTAGCCTGAGATCTCGCTCTACTGAAATAAAAACATAGCATGAGTTATTTAAAAATGAATACGTGTTTATTTACAATTTATTTAATAACAATTTGTATGAAACACGTAAAGTATCGTAGTATGGCGATATTCTTGTTGTATTAGAATATCGAGTGCCTTGCGATAACGTGGTAGTTTGACGCATTTAAAGACAGCGGTGTACAGCTAGCGTCTCAATTTGTTAAAAGGTCCAGATGAACACAAGTGGAAGAGAAGAACAGATAGTGCTCCGCGTGTTCACCATCTTATAGATTGTTCTGTAATGTCGTTAACCTTTAGACAAGTTTCATAAACTTTCCCAAAGGTTACTTATTCTTGTATTCGGTGCATCTCAGGGTTCCAATAGCAATAAGTGGTTAACAACGCTGGAACACAGCAACATTGGGACTTCATAAGCGTCCATTGCGGAGCCCTTTACCTTGTGCTTTCACGCAAATATACACGAAGCTAAAGATCTACATAAGACACTTTTTGTATTAGTAAGATGTGGTTTCAGGACCAGTTCTTGATGTCGGGAAAAAAATATAAACGTTCTCAGCACGAAAGGCACTTGGAAAGCCTTTGATCCTACTAAAACTACAAAACAAAGTTGTATTAACAACAAAAGACAACATGAATTGATTTGCAAAACTCAACTAGCAAGTGCACCCCGCAAGTAAAGCACGTGTGCAGTACGATCACTCAGCAGTGTTCGCTAGCACCGGCTTTATGCTATAGCTATCTGGTGCCAAAGCTTATCTAGCATTGGCTGAGCGTTGGATTCTGTTGGTGTGTCATTGACTTCTGGTGGATAAAAACCTCGAATATATAAGTCCTGCAGACACTCATTTTTATGTATTGTCTTTACAGACATAACCCAATTATACCAGAAAGATATAGCAATCAATATCACAGTGTGTAAGTATTATGCTGTGTAACAATTCTAACCAGAGTGCGAACGGCTCTTGCGTTTTTCCAGGCAGCCAGCATCCTGATAAAAGTATCGCTACAGCTTTGTATGCAGTCGTCGGAATAGGAGTCGCTGTCCTTGCAATAGCACTGTATTTACTCATCACCTTCAAGAAACGTATTCATTTCTACTACCGGTAAGCAAAATCACTTTACAGAGAAGCGATATTAGACCTTCTTTTGTGGTACACTATGTCATTCTGTACGCATAGTTTTTGTTGTTTTTTTAATTCCATAGAGGCGAAAATGCTTGAGGACCACGTACTTAAGATTTAGGTGAGCTTTAAAGAACCACAGGTGGTCGGAATTTGCGATGCCCTCCACTGCAGCGTCTCTCATAATCATATCGGGGTTTTTGGAAAATTAAACCTCAACAATCAAATTGTAACGAACAAATACAACGCCGGAAGCTCAAACAACTATTTAATTTGGGCAAACTTGCGCCCATCAACTAAATACACAGAGGTCGTCCTGCGCTCGCAAGTGAAAACCTCGTCAACTTCTCCTTTCAACGTTTCGCCGCGTGCCGCTCCTTCAAGAAGCCGCCAGCCTTCTTCTTCCAGCGCGTGGTGGGGTGACACGTGCAGTCAGCGTTGCATGGCGCGTTTAGCTTGGCGCGTTCGGCTTCAGTTAGTGTGGCGGAATTTATAATACCGGGAAGCGGCGCAACACTTTGGCGGGTGCCTAACAACATGCGGCAATATATAGTCTCTTCAAGTAATAGGCGCACAGTTACAGAAACAGCTTTTCAGCAACATTCTTGAATCAAAGTACTCGTTGCTTGCATCCATGAAACTCTCGGTGCACAATGGCAATGATGTCAATCTCAACACCCTGCCTCATCATAAATGTTATGTCTGTTCATAATATTTGCGGAGAAACCCACCAATGTCGTCCTTTCCTCAGTTCCTTAGTTAAATTCAGGCCCGTATACATGTCTTTACACCACTTATCTCCTTGAGCCTACATGACATGGCAGATACAAAATAACTGGGTGTATTAGCCTCAATGTTTTTAGAAGCGCCGTGAACTTGTAAGCATCCCCGACGCACATATAACGTGCGGTTGGTTGCTGTAACACGCTGCAAACGAGTGGAGTAATTGTATGTGTTCCAGAAAAATATTGTCACTGGGTCATGACGTCAACGAAGGGGGCAGACTTCAGGTAGAAGATGAAACTGTGTATTAGGCCGAACTTGTGGCCGGTAAACTGAACGTCACATTACATATAGCGGCGAACTGATAGCAGCACTGATAGCGGCGAACAGAGCGTCGGCCGTCGATAAACTGACAAGCGGCCAAGCGCTTCGGCAATGATACATGTGCCGATAATATTCCCACCTTACCACTTGTCGCCGTGCAAGCTTTGGAATAATCTCGAGTATTCGCGTCTTGCGCACAATCTTAACGAAGCGATCGCAAAACCTTCTCTGACAATGAGGCACAGTTCGCGCCGAGCATTCCTGACAGGCTTTGTGGGAGAAAATGTAATGAAACATGAGTGAAAATAAGGAATGCGCGTGGCAATATATTAAGCTTTTTGAACTTTTTTAAGTTGTACATTGTGCCTCACGGCTAGATGTGTCAGTTTATCATGACTCTTTAATTGCAGTGTATCCCCAGAAGAGGTACCAGCGTATACTGTGAAGTATCGAGGCAAGTGAACTACGTGTTTTGCCGAACTTTAGAATTGCAGCGTGAAGTCTGTTGGCATGTGTGTTGTCAGCATAAACGATAGCATGAAGCTGTGCTTGCACTTATATATGCATAGTCACCCCGCCACCACTCCTTCACACCTCTTTCCCTGCCACCCTAACCTGACCACTACCGCAGCTTTTATTTGCTAGAAAATCAATCTTTGCATGTGTGTATTTAGTACGCATCCATTCAGTCATAGTCGCTGGCAGCCTAGGAATAAGTACTAGGCTCTGCCCACGAAGCAGCATTACCGTTATTTTTCATGCTTCCGCCGTGTTGGCATACTTCAAGCCGGAGAAACGACCGAACCCGATGAAACGTTTCAAGCACTCCGAACTGCTGTAGCTTCGGTGCACGTCAAACAACCACAAACTTCAACTGCATCCCAAGGCAGCCGGCGAGGATGAGGCTGTGTACGTGTGGACAAGAGTTGAAAATTTTTATTTGTTCGTCCTAACCATGACGTCATAGCAAAAAGTCTAGTTGGAAGCGCATAACACAAATTGATGGCGGTATACTTTACTTTTTATTATGTGCTTCTCACATACTATAAGTAGCACATTTCAGAATGCTATATGTGTGCATGCTTAAATAAGTTAACAAAATTTAATGTTCCTCAGCATTCGGCAATAATTTAACTAGTGAATCAACAATCAACAGTTGTTAAATCCTACTTTCACTGATAAGCTGGTTAATGTAATGCTGTATCGCCTAACCTACTTTGAAAGGCGAAATAAATTATGAGTGTATTACATTGGTTTTTATATGCAAATATTAGAACAAGCGTTTGTTTCCTTTTGTTTTGTTTAGTTTTATCAAGTGGATCCAGCCTAAGGTTTCTTCTTATTTTGTGTTGGCCAATATGCTGGAAGGAGCCGCTCATGTACCGTAGGTGTCATTGCAGAAGCTAACCACATCGATCAGGTGGATATTGCCGCAATGTATTCAGCTATAAGAATCTGTCACGCCGATTCTAATGTGAAGTCCCGCGTGAATGAAGTGTCTCTCTGCAGATTCTTCGTCTTCACTTATTCATGTAAAGTGGCATTTTATTCTAAAATGACACTACAACCTTGCAAAAAGTTTAATCTTGCAGTTGGGTTCTGGATGTCTTCTTTGCCGTGACTACGTTACTGGTTAGCTTTATTGTACGTTGTCTCTCTTTCTCTCTCTCTTCGCTACAGCTTAGCGAGAAACAACAATCACAGGGAAGACAAGAGGCAGCTGTCCAGGTGCAAGGCGAGAACAACGGAGCTGTCGCGACGACAGAGCGGCGACAGCTCAGCATTCATGCTCGACACTGCTCGTTTGTCTGTAATGTTTGAGGGTTGTATACTACACGCATTCCTTTTGTATTTATGATCATATTCATCATCACTTGTGATTCGCGCAGCTCTGGAGCTCCAGTTCAGTGGTCATTTTCATCTGCGATTCACGACTGAAGTGACATAGGACAAAAAGAAAGCCGAGCGAGAGTCATCGTGTAAATGTATTTAAAGAATGATCGAATTCATAAGACTAGCAAGCACGGACTACAGACTACTATCGTTTGTCCTGTATCGTTCTGCCTGGCAAACGCAATGACGTGTAAGTGTGCGTCGTACTGCCATAAAACTAACCACAATATACGGTTGTAGTCTTGCCTTCGAGCTCTCTAAAGTGTACTGAGACACTGCCAAAGTAGTCTGAATATTGGGTGTGTCCGATTAGTTCCTCGTAGGGCATTGGTAGCTTAAAGCTAGTCAGTGAAGAACCTGCCCAGGGCTCGTATTAAGGCTTCTTATAGTCGGTTATAAACATAGGGCTCCGTGTTTGCTGATATATTTAAAAAAAGTCTGGTAAACTTTCACTGGTAAAGTTTTTTTACAATTTGGATTTATCTTATAAGCTCCGATTCTACACGACCATTTTCAACGTTCAAAAGGCATTTTCAAAGCTGAGAATGAACCTTCGAAAGAAGTACCCCTCCATTAGTGGCATGAACCTCGTGAAGTATGCTTGCTCC